ATACCATTTTTTGACATAGAAATCCCACGGGAACTTGGAATAAAGATTTTCCAGTTTCTGAGTATGCAGGATCTTTGCAATTGTGCTCAGGTAAAGCTTTGCTGCACTTGAGGGTTTAGGCTCAGCTACCTGTTGTGTGTGTAAAGAGCCCAGTAAATCTAATGTTGTTTTATTGTTTGCACACAAGCAAATACTGTGGGCTGGTAGTTGAGGAGAATTCACTCGGATGTGGTAGAAAAAAAAAACACTATTAATCAATCATAAACAAATTCTTATTAGTACAATGTTTAAAATGAGATGATAAAAGTTCTGAGACACCAAAACCAAATGAAATCAACAACAGGACTGAATACACATACTCTATATATTTGAGTATTATACAAATATGACATGGTGAAGTCGTCAATTCTACTTCCAGAAGTGTTGGATAATTGGGACTACCCCACAATCATCCAAAAATGAGAGAAGTACAATTGTAACCGAAATAAAACTGTGTTGTATTTAGTTTTACTATACCTCAAATATTAAACAGCAAACCCATCTATCTACATTAGCAATTTGATCTGTGACAGTAAAATTGCGCTGCTTGCATTAGCCACGTAGGCAGGGATTCAGTAGTTACCCTATGTATGCGTAATTTGGCATGCGCAGGTTAAGTAGTAATAAAAACTACTGCACCCCTTACCTAATGGAATTGACTAGTAATGAAATGTAGTTATTACCTACAGTAATTAATATTTATGAGTAAATATAAATTTATATCCAGCTATAATCATAAAAATAGATGACGATCGCTTTCTATACTTTTTATTTTTACTTGTTCTGTAACCTTTTTGTTTTTTTCTGTCTGTGATCTGTTGTTATTTTTTCTGTTATCCATTGCATGTATTTTTTTTTCTGGCAAACCTTCTACAAGCTTTGTGGCTTTTTTGGTTTTGACTTTTTCAAATTTTTTCTCTTTTATAATTATTGTGAATCACCTGTTCATTTACTTTTTTGGAGAAAATAAATGTTATTTGAAATTAAATGAAATGAATTGTGAATGCTTATCATCAGGCCACTTTCAGGGTGGGAAGCACCAAGCCATCTGTCCAAAGGTGCCCTGGGGTGGTTCACTATACTGTGAAGCTAGACTTGCCACAAGTCCCTTATTGTTTTTTCTCATTCTGGACAGCACCACCAATGAGAAACCTAATTTAGAGATGAAAAAAAAATAATCAAGTATGGGACGCCAATTAAATTAGGTATGGCACGCACTAAGTGCAATTATAAGCGAGTAACCCAAAATTAGGGTTACTGTGAAGCTTTTATTTAGGCCCCAACATTTTTTCATCTCTTGACCCCATGACCCATAGTTATTGCGCCATATGAGTTCCAAAGTCACCTACAGTATACCCAGTTTCCCATTGCTGAACACATCACTGTTTACATTCTTTTTACCATTTCTCTAGGTCAGTTCAAGTTGGAGGAGTTTGGCTGATGATCAGTTGCTATGGTTTCCATTCTATAAAGCTCTGGGTTTTTCTACTGATGTTACTATTGATAGTGAAGCAAGTTGGAAACTGGCAGTCAGGGATGGATTAATGCAAAGGGATTTGTTAATCAACAATTGGAAGGTATAAATCAATATTTGAAGTAATATAAGTTATTTATTTTCAATTTGAAAATATTTTTCTTCTCTTATTAACAGATGCATATATGAGGCATGTCATGGCGATATGGTTAAGTTGTCGCACAGGCCAGCATTGAGTAAATAAATTATAAAAATGGGAGCTAAGAAAATTGCCAAAAAATCCAAATTTGTTTTTCACTATAGATCAACAGTTTAATGTCTTATTAATTATGTCCCAAAGTATTAGTTCAGGAAGTGGTCAACAAATCGTTTAATTAAAGTTATTTTGATAGTTAATTCTATTAAACAATGTATGCACAAATAGCTGTGGAAGGCAATTACTCAAAATCATGTTTATCCTGACTCTAAGAGTGCTATTTTTTCACTTTCCAATAACTTAGGCTTGAAATGTCCAATTTCAATGAATTACCTCTCATTTAAGATCACATAGGTATCTGAAAATACCAATAACTTGAATTTCATTTTTTGCTAAAACTTAGCCTTTTTGCCACAACATGCCTCATATTACTTACTGTTCCTGTACCACAGCACCATTCAATTCTTGAATATATATGTACAACTGACAGCTATGCAAACATGTTCTAGTTGAGAAATTGCAGTATAAAATTTTATACCAGTTTAAAATTGATATTTTCATCATTGAATTTCTAGGGTCGTATTGGTCGAGTGACAACGCTTGAACACATCACTGGTGGAGTTCTCTGTGCTGTCAGTTCATGCGATATTGCTATTATTGCTGGGTAAGATGTACTAAAATCTCAAGTATCTTTACCACTCTATCGGTACATTTATGTACAGTATACTGCAGAGGACTTTACATCTGCAGAGGACATTTACATCATGAGTTACATCATGTAGAAGACATGTATTTTGCAAAATGTGTGTGTGGGCCATCCATAATTTAAAATTATATGTGTCTATTATTTTATTTTCTTTATAGAGTATTAGATTATTATTATTATATCACATAAAGGAGAAGTTTATCAATTTTATATAATGTGAGAACTGATTTAGCATGCTCAGTTACACAATATCCCATTTTTGAAATTACAAATCACATGCGCATTCATTATGTAGACTCTCAACTTGAATTTTTACTGTACTGTATATGTTTTAGGTTGCTCAATTGGCATAATAAAATATTACATGTGCATGGTTTGCAATGAATTAGTATGCACCCAACTGCTCAAATTTAGACTCTATCTGAAATGTGTAGTTATTTGCGTGGCAAATTAGTGTAAAATGTCTAGTTTTAGAATTACATGCATTGAATTAGAATTGTTTTCATTTAATTCCTCAGTTTCCACTCTTGTTACTACAGTTAATTACATTTATTGTCAGCTCAATATTACAATCAATTATATCATCTTCATCTATATCCTCATAGCCATCATTTAGGTCACCAAATTATCTACAGTTTATGTATATCAACATTTATGTTTTTTCTAGATTTTCAAATGGTAGTGTAAAGCTGTGGAAAGTAAACAGGCAAGTCGAAGAAGAAACTATGCTTTGTAGTTGCTATGACAACACGGGACTCAAGAATGCTGACAGGCCAAGTGTCAATCATGTGGCTGTTAATTCAGTTATTTCGGTTCTTACCTTCGTAGCTGGCTATCTAGGACGTAGAAGGGCCAATCTCATCTACGAATGTAGTAAAAACTTGATATAATATTAATGATATGATATTAATTTTAAAATATTGAAATACATTGATATTCTTTTGTAATTGTTGAAGGTGATGTGGACATCTGGAGCACACAGCATGGAGGTGACCCCATTCACCATTACCACCAAGATGGCATCCAGTGTGTGTCCATAGCAACCGATGATGCCCAAGTTGCGAGTGCCTCTGGGAAAGAATTGAGAATAGAAGCAGCAGACAACTCAGGAAATTGGTTCATGCAAGACTGCATTACGCTGGATAAATACGTAAGTTTAATGAGATAGTGATATTGTATCCATTGAGATGCTTAAAAATAACAGGGGTTATGGAAATGCCCTTCAAATTTCTAAGTAAAATCCCACAGAGATTCTCTTGATATATAATAGGGTCTGTACTCTAATCTATGGTATCTTTGACACCCTCCACCTTCACGCCTCTTTAATCCCATGTGGCCTGTAAGATCACACTAGACCTTCCTAATCCTGTGGAAACTACTTCTAATCTGTGGCCTGAGAAATCCACATGGAGTCTTCCTTCAATATCTCTGTTAACCTGTGGAATAACCAATGAGGCTTGACTGTAGAATCCCCTAGTCTTCCCTTAACCTGTGGGCTATGGACTTTATCTGGAGGCTTCCTATAACACATGGCCTGTGGAATCGCTTAGAGACTTTCTGCAACCCATTCCCTGTAAATTATCCCAAAATTGATCTACATTTGTCTGTTTTCTAACTTCTAACAACTATAAACTTTTTTTTTCAGATTGATAATGTGAAAATATTTCAAGTTCCTAATAAGAAGCAAAAAGGCAGTTATGTTTCCGTGTCAACTGCAAGTGGTCTGTACATTTATAAGCCTGCTCCTGGGCCCAGGTATTTGAGCTTAGTTCATGCATTTGTAGGGTCAACACCAACTTGTATGGAGGTCATATCTGATCACATTGCTTGTGGCTTTGGTGCTGCAGGTTTTCAAGAAAGTTTCACAGTGAAATTATTTGACATTGAGACCAAAAATGTGAAGCATGTGTTCCGAGGTCATAGTTGGGATGTCACATGTCTCCATAGTGACGATGCCTTGCAGAGTATGCTTGTTACAGGTTGTAAAGATAAACGGTAAGATGTAGGGTAATTGTCATGACTTGTATGTGTTGTTCATTGAATTCTATAACCAATGTTTTGCTAACCTAAGGTCTATACATTATCACAATCATACATTAACAACTTTTCCCAATATTTTTGTCTTGTGATCCACATTTCCACTGATTTGAAGGGGAATTTATTTAAGTATGTACATATCCATTTGTTTGGGTGTATGTGCCCTAATAAGTGATCTTTGCTAAACATGGAAAAATCAGTTGTATAACCTATCAAAAAAGGTATTTTCCTCCTGAGCCTGGCTTTAAGATTCAGCTTCGTTTTCAAGCTTTAGCATCTCTTCATTCCAAACTTGACAAAGGTTCTTCCTTCTTCATACCATCTGTAGTTTCACCCAGTTATCCGATCATCCTCTTAACTGTTTTTCCCTCTGCTGTCAAATCTCATTTTCTCACTTCATTTCTTTCTTTCTCAATTAGTTTATCATACTACCTTAGACTTCACACTGCTTATTGTTTACATGAATCGTTGTCTGCATCTCAGGATATTCTACATCATAAATAACAGAAAAACGTCAAACATCGGTGGCTCTATCATTATTTTTTAGATTATTCCAGGAACGTTCACTTCTGATGCAACCAATATAGACTTACATAGACAAAAAAGAGGCAATGATTGTCAATGTTTTGAGCTTTATTTATCTTTCAACATATGATGGCAAAAATTTGCCTCTTGACACGAGACAAGTTGTCTGTTTTTTGTTGAATGCTATGTTTTTACTATCCCTATTGTTGTCATCTGGTGTTTTTAATATTGCTATTGTATTGGTATTATTACTACTACTGATATGGTATAGTTATCACTCTTACTGTCATAGTGACGGTTGATACATTACTATTTCAGTCTCAGGTGACGTTATCACTATTGCTCTCATGGCGATATCTGAGACAATATTATTTTCATTCTCAGGTGGCATTATTATTATTGATGTCATATTGATGTTATCAACATATTACGGTTATGTTTATTAAAAATATTTAAATATTTTATACTCAGCAAACACATTGTAAATTTTAATCCTTTTTAATTTCTCTATTATTGACCTTTTAGAGTTAGGTTGTTTGATTTTAGACTAAAGAGTAATCAACCTGTAGTGCAGCTATCTGGGCATGGGGGCGCTATTACTCAAGTACAGGTCGATGAGTGGAAAGTTTTGAGTGGCGGCATGGAAGGCATGGTTTGTCTGTGGGATCAAAGAATGCAGAGAAAACTTTGGGATTCATATGCCAGGTAGGAATAATAATAATAATAATAATAATGATAATAATAATAATAATAAACAAATGATAATGAAATAAAACCATAACAATACAAGTGTGTTAGAAAAAATGTGAGCTGTCATGACAAAATGAGTCTTGTGTTACAAAAAATGAAAAATGAGTTATTGATATAATAAGGTAGATGACTACATATGCTTCATTTTAGTCTTTCAATTAGGTTCCTAGGTTGAGCACAGCTGGTGTAAGATCATTTTCAATTTCAGAAAGATAAACAACTGAAAAATGTTGTGTTGGTTTTCTAATCAATTCTGATAAACAGCTTTACAATATGTGCCTCAAAAACACATTAGGTAACTTAACTCAGAACCTTTGCTACCATGATACAAACAATTAAACTTATCAGAAACATTGAAACCCTATTTTTGTCAAAATATCACTTCAGATATATTTTTCTACATATATCAAAATGACCTGGCATACCACTAGACTCATTTTGTCAAGATACCTCACAAATATGTAATGATCAGAGAATGAAACAGACCAAGTTGAGGTCAGTTGTGTTGCAAGGATTTGTCTGATGAGGAAGGAGGGGCGCAAAGCTTCCTGTAGCTTGCCATGAGTGTCATTATGCAGAACAACATATAATCAGGGGTAGTTTTAGGGATGTCCAAAAATGGGGAGTGGGGGATGGTGGCTGATCAAGTGACTACATTACACTAGGGGGCCCGAAAAATGTTTGTTTTATAGACACTAGACACCTGGAAATAATCTCTGAGACATTTTGGGAAATCAATAATTTCCTTATCTTTGTTTCTTTTTTTTCTATTTTTTTCGTTTCTCCCCCCCCCCCCCCCCCCAAAAAAAAAAAAAAAAACCAGCCCCGGACAAGAATAACATGAGTAAGGAGATATCATTAAACCAGATCTCCCTTTTTTTTATTAAATGCGGTGCTTCTGTTTGTTGTACCCACTTTCTCATAATTTTGTTTTAAACTCTTTTAAACGTTTCATTGCTTTTCAGACATCCTGTAAGATACCTTTGTTTCAAAGGTGGTGGCTTAG